TATCTTTGTCAACATCTTTCCCAAGTTTTCTTTTAATTCATTCACAATGCTTTCATATGCTTTAATGGTGAAGGAACTATTCACTCTATTACCCAAATTATGTTGATGTAGAAAAGCATCCATAAGAGTTGCATCCATTATTGGTGTCCACACAAATTTGCCTTCTTCATTTTCATTTTCAGTATTACTTTTTTTCTTCTTCCCACCCATGCTTATTTAAATTTGAAATATTAGAAAGGAATTTTTAAATGAAATTTATTAAAAGGACATTAATTATTTACAACTGAGGAAAATAACATTAAACAACTGAAAAACAATGAAATTAACTCAATGGCATCTCTCAACATTTCTCCCCTAACAGCATCTTCATCTTCCTTTGATAAGTATAATATCATTGAGAACTATCTTAATTACTCAATTCTTCATATACATTAACTATAAGATCCTTTTTAGGTCCATTCCCATGAAGAAATGTGAATAATGCAACAAGTTAAAATAATAAATTTTGAGTTTTTACCCCATTGAATGGTTTGGATCCATGCCTTAAAATCTCAAATCTTTTTTTCAAAACACCAAATGCTCTTTCAATAGCATTATGTAGGGCTACATGTCTAAGATTAAATAATTCTTTAGCATTTTGTGGAGGATTATTTGAGTATTCTTTGAGATGATAGCGAACTCTACTATAAGAAGTTATAAGCCCACTTTTTAGCATAAACCCAACATCAATAAAATACAATTTTTTCCTCTTAAATTATAAGCTTTTTTTTTTTTTAATGCATCCTTAAGAATTCTAGAGTCTGAAGTAGTCCCTTTCCATCCTTAACATAGGTTAATTTTAAATTAAATATGCAAGCAATTAAGATATTTTGGGTTGGATGCTCTTTTCTACCATGATATTTAGGGGCATCTAAGGGTGATACTTTTGGACAAATGTGTGTTACATCAATTGCACCAACATAATCCTTAAAGTATAGGTAGAATCTACTACTTGAATTATCGTCATTAGATGTATAAACCATTTGGTTATTTAATAAATTTATCTTTAACTGCTATTATAACTCTCAACACATGATGAAAACGTCGGTTAGCCATTTCTCCAGAATGTTGAAACCAAAATTGGACTGAATGATTTCTTAGCTAGAATATAAAAAGCTTAGTTACTGGTTCCTCAATAGTTGCTTTTCTTATAGGTTGGAGACATCTCTCCCTTTCAAGTATAAAAAATATACTTTTGTTATCCTTTCATCAATTTTATCTATTAAGTCTATATAGATGGCCTTTTTTAGTTCCTAAACTTTTGTTTTATGTACATTTAGGTCATTAAAGGAAATTGGAAAAAGGAAATTGGAAAATGCCAATTGGATAAATTTAACAAACAATATTGATGATAGAACAATAAAAATGCATTTTTAATAGTTGAAGGATGAAAAAGTATAAAAAATAGTTAAATATTAAAATTATTTAATACTAAAAGTTTAGGACCTAAATTTAGCATCTAACAAGTTTGAAAGCTAAATTTAATATCTACCCTTTGAAATAACATTATTTTAAGTTTATAAGATGTTTGGATTTTAAAAATGAAGTCAAATTGATGTGCACTACTTTTTACATCTCAGAATAATAGACACTTTTTATTTAGAATTTGTTTTAAAATAAAAAATAATTTTCCTTATTTTAAAGGGGATAAATATTTTTTTCTTATTTTAATCTTATGATTACTACTTAATTTTAATTATTTATCTTACATAAAAGAGTCTTTTTATTTTTATTTTTTAAGATAAAATAGGTAAAAAAATAAATTATTTCTAAATTCTTAATCAAAAAAAAAAAAAAGAGGTAAAAAAATGTCTATTTTTCTAGAACAATGAGAGTATAATCTTTTTTTCTTTTTTAGAGAAGATATTTCTAAAAGGTGAAAAATTAAAATTAAAATTAAAATGAAAGATTGATGCACGTAAAATTGAAACTATAACTAATTTTTTAAACAAAAATTATAAGTATGTCTAGTTCGCAGAAAATAAAATAGAAAAAGGAAGAAGAACTTCCCCTTTTTTTTTTCCTTTCATTTTATATTTTCATTTTAGAATAGAGGGAAAAGATTAAAGGAAAATAGAAGGGTAAGATCTTATTTGACTTAGTTGGTAAAGAATAATGAATAATTGTATTCTCTAATTAAGTAAATAAGAGTGTTTGAATTGTAAATAGGAAATAACTATTAGCATTGCATATATGTTATATAAGCTATAACCAAAATTTTGGCTAAAAGAATGTAACCCTTCGTCTCCTTCAAATAGGAAAGAAAATGAGAAGTCTCAAGCTGTGATATAGTGTTTTTTAAAAATTAAAATTATTTTATGAAAAGAAGAGATTGACTTATAAATCACATTTATAAAAAAAATATTAATTATTTATCATTTTACTTTTAATATTTGAGGTTTATTATAATTTTTTTTAAACTTAATTATTTTTAGTAAATATAATAAAAAATGAATAAATTTCAAATATTAAAAATAAAGAGATTAATAATTAAAATTTTGTTAAATATGATATATAAAATTTATATATAATTTTTTCTTTGAACAAATTTGTAAAGAGTTGGATTCAAACCATTACTCTGAGGAGGGAGATGCGCTTTAAACGTGATTTGACGTCACAAAAATGCATTTTAAACGTGATTTGATGCTACGGGCCTTCGGTCCAAGTGCAAAACTTATATATAATTAAATCGTAACTACATTTAAAAATTGTAAATGTAATATAAAACATTTAAGTTCTGTAACCCTTATGGTCTGGTTTTGAGCATTTAATGAAAGGCAATGCTATGTCTATGTGTATAATGCTTATTAGGGATGTTTGCGATGTGGTTTAATTTGGATTTTATTATTTTTTAAATTAATCTAATTTAATTGGTTAATAAAATTTTTAAACCAATCTAATTCATTATTATGTAATAATCAATTCAATCCAATTTAAATCGGATCGGTGTGGTTCG